GAGCCTGCGCGGCGCCGGGCCCATTTCGCGGTGGCACCGAGGCCGCCGTTCTGCCTCGGGGCGAGAGGGCGTCTGAGGCCAGAGCTCCCAAGGACCCGGCGGGGCCGCAGCCCACAGGCAGCCGACTTGCTTCCCGACCCGCGAGGCACGCGGAGGGTCCCCGGGGTTGCTCCCTCTCCAGGTTGGGCACGCCACCGGGGTCGCTGACCCGAAGCTTTTTAGGGCTCTGGTGGATGCTTATTTTTACCCAGAAGGAAGCGTGCATGCTAAACCTTCCGTGGAGAGGGAATGGGTGATGGAAAACGAGAAGGGTAAAAAGTCATCTGTTGCTCCTGTCCCCATTTTGCTGGTGTGGAAACTAAGCCTTGAAAGAGGCCTACAACGACAACACCCAAGTGGAAATTGTAGTAAAAGAGCCAGAAATGGGAGGGGAAGGTAGTACTTCAGGCCCTCAAGCAAAGCCATTTTAGATCTTGAGTAAACTTTGTTACACATGGTAGCGCATGCACACACATACACACATCAATTCATATTTAAAATATTTACCGAGATACTATATTACATTCCAGAAATTTATTAACACTAAAACTAAATAGGCGATAAAAAGCAAAGTTGCTATTCTCTTACAAAAAAAAAAAAAAAAAAAAAAAAAAACCTGTATTAATACGCGCTCAGGTAGCAACAAGTTAGAATAGACATGCACAACCTTTAAGAAATTCCAAGGCTTTAAAGTCTTTGGAAAGAGTGAAGCGAGAGCAGTTTAGAAATGGCGAGAAGAAACAAGGTCAACAGTCACAGCATCGTGCCTGTCTCCAACACTCGCCCAAACCTTCACGTCTCGTTTCATAGTGTCCAAGTGTCTCAAAGGCAGCCGAAGGTTTGTTTGCAAAGATAGAAGGGAGCAAGCGAGACACCAGAAGTGCTGCCTTGACGGATTTCAAGGTGACTCAAAGTCAAGGGGGAAGAAAATGAGCACCGAAGTTGACTGTCTGTGCGTGGAAAGAAGAAATATAAAGGGGGGGGGGGGACCAAAAGAGAGAGAAAAGGGGGATGGGGATCTAAAAAGGAGAATTTCCTAGTTGGTTTGTTGCATTACCGCTTCCTGGGTCTGTGAGTATAGATGACTCGTTCCTCCAAACCTCATGTTCCTCTGTGAAGTCCTGATAGCAGACAGGGATGGCTGCAAAGTGTTCTTAAGATTAAATAATGTGGCGAAGCAGCTGATAGGTCAGCGAATAAGCACACAGCAAGAACTACATTGGGTCCTTGAATTTTCTGCAGTTTGACCTGAGGCTCTTCCATAGGCATGGGAGGGGTGAATGAAGTGTTCCCTAATGGTAACCATTGGGTCATTAGCTCGCAGCGAAGAAATAAAACTGTTCATAAACTCCACAGTAAGACTGTAAACTCCCTGAGAACAAGGGCAAGTCTTTTCTTCTTTGTATCTCCCTGTGCTCTCTGGGATGTTCGTTGAATTATTCAATACAGCCAGGAATAAAAATCCCTCCCTTGAGATTTTCCCTCAAAGCCAGAAAAGGACATCTTGTTTTTAACTGAGGGAGGATGCTGAAAGTAAAATTACAGTCTTAAACAAGAAGCCATCTGTCCTCCTTCTTTATAATCAAGGGAAGAGGAGTTGTTTCTCTTAGCAAGTCAAGATGGGAGCTTTTCTCTCGGTTTATAAAAATCTTTCTGGCTAGCACACTTGTTCCATGTAGTAGCTAGTGCTTATTTTACCGTTAGAACTGTAGAAGTGGTTGGATATGTAGCTGACTGTGTCAGTGCTTCTTAAAAACGTGTTGGATTTTGTTGGAGATCTCATTCCTGCCATGGATGATGGCAGCCCAAGCACCTTCCCTTGTGCCTGCTCCTCACTGGAGTTTCCCCTTGAAGAGTTATGATAGAACTGGGCATTCTGAGGCTCTGCAAGGTGTCTCGTAAACAAACTAATTATGTATGATGCCCCACACATGTATATGAATGCGATGCTGTAAAATTACACCCTGCCGTCAGCAGGAGAGAAACTGAGGGCTCCCGAATTGATCTTCTGTACCTTCAAAGAACAAGTCTCCTTCCCGTGCCCATCCACAGCCCGTCGTGCCCAGAGAAGCCTCCTGAAAGGACGGAGTGAGGAATGTGGAGTGAAGTTCAAGCTCGGCAGGCCCGAGATCAAGCTCCCAAACCAGAAAAATAAATAAATAAAAATAAGTTATTTAGTGGGAAGCTTTTCTGTTCTATTCTTTTTGCTCTTTCTCATAAACAAGCACACACAGCATTCAGTGGTGTTAAACTGCAGCAAATTCAGAAATAAGAAAACAGTTTTTGTTGTTTTTTTGTTTTTTAATTTTTACCCTAGCCAGAGCTCAGATCTCACTTGAGATGCCATCAGGAAAAATCTCTTTAAAAGGGTTTGGGGGTTCGTTTTCAAAACCAGGGAGGTAATCCCCCCTCCCCCAAGTTACATAAGAACAACGTCTGCACTAACCAGGATAAAATTATAAGGCCTATCAATCTTGATGCTGCAGGGTAAAATCAGATCACCAGCTGAGCCAGCCGGAAATGCTTCCCAGTAGTCTAGTATTGCATAATTGGCTGTGTGAATTCAGGGTTTCCAGCCTCAGAAGGAAGGATTGGTACTGGTCACTCACTGAGGGAAGAGACGGAACTAATGGTCTTTCCGGTGATTTTAATAAAGCCTGACTCATTGTTCACACTGGTTCAGGCTTGAGGTGGAGGAGGGGAGAAGGTCATAAATATAAATGGATCTATATGTGAGTGGTGCAAGTGTATGGGCGTGCGTGCGTGCGTGTGCGTGCGTGTGTGTGTGTGTGTGTGTGTGTGTGTGTGTGTGTGTGTGTAGCCACTCAGAATAACTCTAATGTAAAAACCGTGGCATTTGGTGAGTTGGCTGTGTTACGTTCTAGCACATACTGTGTTCACAGCCGTATTCCGCTAGAGCACAGTCCCTTCCTTCAGCTGAGTCCCCCTCCACTCCCCCCCCACACTTCAGATCCGCTTCCCCAACCTCCCTGAGAGCATTCCCAGATCACTCCTGGGAAAGGCTCCAGAGGTAAAAACTAATTGTAACGGAAGGCTGTCGTTGTTCATTCATTACCAGAGAGCCAAGAGCAGACTCCAGTAGACTTCGGAAATGTATCTTAGGTTCCTGGGGAAGCTCAGCAGTGGAAGACCTTCCGGAAAAGAGCTCTCCTGAATTCGGACACATTCAGGGGAAAAGGTAACATCACTGGCAAGTGTAGAGATTCTAATTCTTTTGCCCTGTAACTGTACCTGCCCATAATTGTAAGTTTATGTTTCTCCAGTGTTACTTTACAATTCTGACTTTATTTATTGTTTCACCTGGATTTTTGTTGCAAGATCAGATAACATAAGTATGCTCCCTGCAAACTGTTGGCTGTGAACCTGTGTTTAGAGGGTGTGGTAGTTTGAATGTAATTGGCCCCCATAATCCTATAATCCCATAATCTCATAGGGAGTGGCACTATTAGGAGGTGTGACTTTGTTGGCATAGGTATGGCCTTGTTGGAGGAAGTGTGTCACTGTAAGGGTGGGCTTTGAGGATTTCTATGCTCAGAACACCACCCAGTGTGTCAATTGACTTCCTGTTGCCTGTAAGATGTAGCACTCTTAGCTCCAACAACACGTCTGCCATGCTCCCAGCTATGATGGGCTGAACTGCTGAACTGGATGAGCCTCCTGAATTAAATGTTTTCTTATGAAAATGGCTGTTGTCTCAGTGTCCCCTCACAGCAATAGTGACCCTAACTGAGACAAACGGATAAGCATGTTTACTCTTACTTCTCTAAAGGACTCACATCCTTTGTAGCCATTCAATCCACTCTGCAATGTTTCCAGCTGACTTCTTAGCTTAAATGATTTTGATGATGTGGCCTTAGCTGAAATATCAATCCTCAGAGTTTAAAGCTCTTGTCAACCAAACACTAGGGGTTTTTTGGGTATTTTTTTTTGTCTTTTTTTTTTTTTGGAGGGGAGTGCTAGGGAGATGAGAAAGTAAAAAAGGCAAAATTGTGAATACTAAATGAAGACAGAAGGAGACAACTTACAGAGTAGGGAAATACATTTATTTATTTATTTAGCAATATGTTTCTTGAGCCAATGTAGTACTTTTCTAGCTAGAGACAAGAAGGGCCCTTGCTTTAAAGCCACTTACAGGGCAGGGGGAAAAACATATCCAGAGGAATGGGTCTGCATGCTCCCTCTGCTCAGAGAGGACCCATCACTAAATTTATCACAGCCTTGCTCATTCTTAGTTACACAGTGGTCTTCTGTCTTCACCTGATGGGGAATTTTAACATACAATAAACACAGGTGAAACCTGAGAACACTGTGCAAAGCGAAGTCAGGCAGTCATCCAAGGACAAATAGCACCCAATTCCACTTATATAAGAGACACGTTATCAGAAGATTCACGGGGACAAAAATAAAATGGTGGCGGTGATGGGGGTACTGCAGTAGATGTAGAGTTCCAGGTGGACAAGGGGAAAGGAGATGGCAGTGGTTGAAAACTGCCGTCCTTCATGCCCAGCTGTACACTCTAGGCAGTGAAGGCAGTAGAGTTTATGTAATGTAATTTACCATAATGAAAAGGGGTGTAATGTGGATATTAACTCATGATGGGTAGGAAATAAGTGATGTAGGAGAGTCTTCTATCTATCTGTTGCTTTCATTGGTTAATTAATAAAGAAACTGCTTGGCCTGATAGGTCAGAACATAGGTGGGTGGAGTAGACAGAAGAGAATGCTGGAAGAAGGAAGCAGAGTGAGGGAGAGGCAGAGAGTCGCCGCCATGAAGCTGCCAGGTCAGACATGCTGAATCTTTCTGGGTAAGCCACAAGCTCATGGTGACATACAGATTATTAGAAATGGGTTGAAGTCAAGATGTGAGAGTTAGCCAATAAGAGAATGAAACTAATGGGCCAAGCAGTGTTTCAAAAGAATACAGTTTCCGTGTAATTATTTCGGGTAAAGCTAGCCGGGCAGGCGGGCAGTGGAAAGCGGCCTGCCATTCCTTCTACAAATAAGGAACTCACAGTAGGATGAGATGATGTTCTTCACTATGGAAATGGGTCAGAAGATACCATTCTGTGTTGGTTAATCTAGATTGTCAAGTTGATGGGGTTTACAATCAATCAATCAAACCTCTAGGCAAGCCTGTGAGGGAGCTTCCGTGTTCGGTTAATTGAAGTGAGAAAATCCACCTCATCTGCAGGCAGCACCATTTCCTGGGCTGGGCAGCCAGACTCAGTAAAAAGGAGAAAGTGAGCAGAGCACAAACATTCATTACACTCTACTTCCTGTTTGTGGATTGCCTGTACAAGGTGTGGGAAGTGAGCAGGCACCTCGAAGTCCTGCAACCTTGACATTCCACCATGGCGGGCTACACCTTGGAACCACAAGTGAAACTAAGTCCTGTGAAAGAGAGAGATGGAGGGGGGGAAAAGAAATTAATTTATTTTGCCTATAAAAATTGTTACATTAATTTTTTTTCTGATCCAGGTGGAGGCACACACCTTTAATCCCAGAACTCAGGGAGACAGAGGCGGGCGGATCTCTGTGAGTTCAAGGCCAGCCTACTCTACAAAGCGAGTTCCAAGACAGCCAGGACTGTAACACAGAGAAACCCTATCTCAATGCCAGCTCCCGAAATTTCCTGATTATTCTTGTATTCTTACCTCTACCATACAAGCTTCTATTGTGCCAGGTACCAAAAGCTAATTTGATACCCAAAAATATTTATGGATAAATACATTTTTGTCAATGAGTCACTTGTAATTAGCTTTTTAAAAATTTATGTATTTATTTGGTTTTTCGAGACAGGATTTCTCTGTAGCTTAGGAGCCTATCCTGGAAGTAGCTATTGTAGACCAGGCTGGCCTCGAACTCACAGAGATCCACCTGCCTCTGCCTCAAGTGTTAGGATTAAAGGCATGCACCACCACCGCTAAAATATCTTAAATGCTTCAAAAGAAAACTTTTCTCAAATGTAAATGTTTTACTTGTTTGTGTTGAGACAGGGTTTCTCTGTGTAACAGCCCTGGCCATCCTGGAACTTGCTCTGCAGGGCAGGCTGGTTTCGAACTCACAGAGATCTACCTGCCTCTACCACCAGAGTGTTGGAATGAAAGGTGTGCGCCACCATGCCTGGCTCTTACTTTTTAAAAATATATGGT